TGTTACCGGAATGGAATTGGAGTACAAAGAGATATTCAAAGGGCAAATCATTGGTATCGGAAATTAAGAAGTCTTAAAAAAATTAATAAAATTTCAAATGAAGAAATCGATGATGGTGTTAAAAAGATCTTAAACGATGAAAAATATAAATTATCATGGATTAATTACAGTGAATTCAAAGATATTAAAGAAATAGGGAAGGGTGGATTTGCTACTGTATTTTACGCATATTGGCTTAATGAAAATGATAAGATTTATAAGCAAGTTGCACTTAAAGTTATCCATAATTCGAATAAAAATGTAGAAAATTTCGTTAAAGAATTGAGGTATTATTGTGATATAGGTTATGAAAACCCATCATTTTTAGAATGTCATGGAGTATCAAGAGACGACATCACTAAAAATTATATTATTGTTTTGGAATATGCAAGTGCAGGTTCGTTACGCCAGAATCTCAAAACTGTAACTCAATTAGTATGGAAAGATAAATTAAATATATTATTTTGTATCGCTTCTGATCTTGAAGCAATTCATTCTCAAGAATTGATTCATCGAGATTTGCATTCTGGTAATATTTTGCAAGCCAATTTACACAGCGCATACATTGCTGATTTGGGGCTTTCATTATCATCTGATATTAATCAAGAAGGTGAGATCAATGGATTATGCCGTATATAGCACCAGAGGTCTTACAAGGAAAACCACTCACTCAAGAGGCAGATATTTACAGTTTCGGTATCATTATGACGGAATTAGCAACAGGAAAGAGAGCATTTGATGGAGAGTCTTTTGATATTGAACTTTCGATGAGAATTTGTCAAGGCAAACGACCTGGATTCGGTGAGGGAGCACCAAAATGCTATGTAAAATTGGCAAAAAGGTGCATGGATCCTGATCCAAATAAACGACCAACGGCAACAAATATATGTCACAAAATTGGAAATTGGTTTGAAGAGATAGGACAAAATGATGATGATGATGATAATGAGATCAAGAAGCAATTTTTTAAAGCGGATAATATCAGGCAAGAATTAAAATCGCCGATTCATCCAAATGATATGTACACGAGTAAATCAATTAACACCAAAAAGATAACGGAAGCATTAAAATCAAAAACTCAAGACATAAATTCTCATTATCATCTTTCTAAGATCGCTGCTAGCCAAAGGATGTCTGTCGAGATCATTGATGTTTAATGATTCAATTTTTTTTATTATTATTTTTTAAGGAAATAAATTATATTATAAGTATATAAAATTATGTACTGTATTAAAAATAAATGCTTATCAAAAAATTTTATTATATTTGATATATAGTTATAATGCACAGGCCAATCGGACCGTTTTTATTTAAATTTGATCTGACGCAAATTTTTATTATGACAAAATTTTTTACACAACGGAATGTTAGGCACTAATAAGTATATCTTATTTAAAAGAACGGTATAACCACCTATTCTAGATCGGATTTTTCTAAATTGTACAAAATTCTAATTCCTTTTTATAAAAAATTGGCCTAACTATATCATGATAATTCGTGAACCAGTGTTCAAAATTTGGCGATCATCCAAGTTGCCAAGTTCCATCACTGAATCACGAGTTATCATTAATGTCCATTATTCATTCGTGTAACAAGTACAAACCTAGTCAAAAAGGTGTATATAACAACAAATATCATTGTGTCATTCCGAAGGCTAAAAAGATAAGATAACAATTCGGCTGAATAATATGTTAGATCTCCAGTGTTTCCTCACCCTATAAAAAAAAATCTCTTGGAATTGTTCGGAAAATTCCGAATTATTCAATTTTTTGTTCGGAAAATCGACTCCATTCGAACATTTAAAGGATGTTTATTGGATGAATGCGTTTTTTATACGTTTTTTATACGACAATTTTCAATCAAATATTTTCTATTTTTTTACATCCTATACAAATGCCGTTATGAAAATAGTACAAACATAAACCATGTTCGGAAAATCGACTCCGTTCCGAACATTTTTTTGGACAATGCCTACAATAACTGTACTAACTTTTTTCATAGGGTCGAAGTGGAATATAATTTCCTAATTGTTAATTTTCATTTACAGTATTCTAAAAAAAAACTATAAAAAAACTCGACTTAGCAAAAATTTTTCTTATCTTAAAGAAAATATGGCTCAATTAAATAATATTGTTAACTCTCAATACGCGAAAGAGGCATCGAACTATATTAAAATTTCAAATGAATTGCGTAGCGTTGGTGCCCATTTCGAAGTTGATCTTCCCACAATCGTTTTTTGTGGAAATCAATCTGCAGGCAAAAGTAGCTTGCTGGAGGCGATTTCAGGCGTTAAGGTATACAATACTCTTATTACAGTATCTGCATATTACTATTTCAAAATCAAAAATGAATAAAAATAATATATAATTTTAGTTACCTAAATCTGATGGAACTTGTACTCGTTGCGTGATGGAACTCAGACTAAACGAATCTTCCGAAGCATGGTCATGTCAAGTTTCTCTCCGTAAAGAATATGATAAAGATGAAAAACGCCTTCCTAATCCAATTGAAACTAAATTTGGTAGCCCGATCAACGATCCAGATAAAGTGGAACTAATGGCACGTCGTGCTCAAAAAGCGTTATTAAATCCTACAACAGAAAGCAATGAATATATTGATTGGGATTTCAATGATGATGATTCTCAATTAAACGGTCTTAAGTTCACGAAAAATATTGTCTGTATTGAAATTAAAGGCACTGATGTGCCAAACTTGAGTTTAATTGATCTGCCTGGAATTATTCGTAAGTTTATATGTACTCTGCTCACGTGATCTAGAAATTTGGTATCTAAACCTCTCTACGCTAGTTTTAAAGTCTGGCCGGTAATTTTGTTTTTGTAAGCTTTATATAAAATTATCGGTCATGTTTTAAAAATATTTCAGTTAAAATTTAGAACGTCACGTGACTGGGCTATGTTTTCTCTTAACAATAATATTTTTACATTGTATATTCTTTTAATACTGTACTGCTTAGGACATACTGAGAAAGCCGAAGATAGAAAGTTTATTCTATTGATTGAAGAACTTGTGAAGGAATATATTAAAAATGAAAAATCTATTATAATTGCAACGATCTCATGCAAGGATGAAATAGACAACCAAGCAATCGTTACTCTTGCAAAAGAAGCTGATCCTTCGGGAGTTCGAACCCTGGGTGTTCTTACAAAACCTGACATGATTGAAAATGGAACACATAATATCTGGCTAAAGATTATGGGAGGTGAAGCTCACCAACTTGAACTCGGGTATTATGTTGTAAAGAATCCAACTAAAGTACAACGTGCGGAAAATATTACATTCGAAGAAGCTAGATTAAATGAGAATGAGGTTCGTTTTTATTACTGTATTTAAATAAATATTTATTAAAATTTAAAATCACTGATTATAATGGCTAATATTTCTGTTTAAAATAGTTTTTTGAACAAGAACCATGGAAAAGTTTTTATCTTCGAGAAAGGACAGGGGTTAAAAACTTGCAAAATAAATTATCTGAATTGTTAATTAAATCTATTAAAAGGGGTCTTCCAGACATTCGGAAAGATGTTGAAGAAAAGTTAGATAAGGTATTTTATAATTATAATGAGATTATATATATATTTACCGTATACGCAAAATAATGCCTATGGGTGTTATTTCGGGACACGAGTTTAAGAAGATCTAATAATTAACTTGGCCGGATAAAAATCATAATTTTTGTTATTAAAAGTCTTCGGCTAAATTATTCATTAACTTGCCTCAAACTCGTGTTTTGTATTATTTATTGTGTATTATGTATTAGGCATGTCAAGATTTAGGAAAGCTTCCAATTCAACTCTCAGATAACCCAAGAATTGAATTATTTCGCATGATACAAAATTGCTCAAAGATTATCAATGAAAAAACTACTTGCTCAAATGATCAAACTGAATTCTGGAATTCACTCAATAATCAATTTGCACAATTCAAAAAAGAATTTTATGCTTTACATCCAATTTTCTTAATTGGTTGCAATGTCAACGGTTATAAGCAAAAAACTTCGGACGCGAAGTTTGATATGCTTGAAGATTTTATCGAAGACTGTAAAAGTAATACAAGTACAGATAAATTGAAACAAATAACGGAAGCCCAAGTCACTGAAACAATTAGGAATGCTCGTGGAAGATTACTCCCTGGCTCAATTCCTTATTCAGCTGCACAGACTATGATTCAAGAAATTCAGGTAAAATGGGAAAAACCTGTTATAAATTGTTTAAATGCTGTTTATGAGATTATGATAAAATCAGTGAATGAGGTTATGGAAAATATTTTCTCAAGATTTCCTGGTTTAGTTGGACGCATGGAGTAAGAATTATTATTAACTTAATTTTTGAGAAATTACATTTATTTTAAAGTTAATATCTTTTATATCTTTTAAATCTATTTTAAAAAAACAAGATATAAGGCACGAACTTGGTTAGAAGAATGTAAAAAACAATCAACTGATCATATCAATTTTATGTGTAAAATGGAGCGAACAACTTATCCATTTACACTTGATAAGCAAATGATGACAGACTTAAAAACGAAATATTTAAACTCTCTTCATGAAGCAGTAAAGAATGATGATCGAGATCCAACTGACACTTTAGAAGTCGTGGCGTTAGTTATGGCATACTTAAAAATTGCAATTAAACGTTACACTGACGTTGTTTCTATGACGATAATTCACACTTTTATTGATGAGTTTAGTGAACGCTTTCAAGAAAAATTAATGGAAATCGTTATTAATGATAAAGATGTATCAATTGATGAGTTAATTAAGGAAGATGATAATACCAAGTATCAAAGAGAGAAATTGTTAAATCGTGAAAAACTTTTAAGAGAGGCGCTGGATAAGCTTGTTAATTTCGGTGTCTATTATAAGTAAAATTCTTGTAGTCAATTCGGTAGAAAGAAATTATGTCCTAAGTATAACATTATTTATTATTTACTGTATTCGAGGCCCTTGTGCATATAAATTTTTATAAACTTTGACTCATTATCTTACCTATTTCTTTAAAAGCATTGAAACTATAATAATAAATTCTTGCAGCATCCATTGTTTTTTCATTATTATGTGAACAAGATATAAAGTATTTAACGCTTATGAATATGCGTTTATTATCGAGACGGTTGCTTATATAACATTGTTTTGCACATTTATTTAATTTGTGCGGAATTTATTATAAAGGCTGTTCTTATCAGCCAACAAACTTCACTTGAAATATAAAAAAGTTTTGAATATAAGTTAAACTTTCATTAATAAATGTGTCTTTCTAAAAATGATACACATGAAATTGCGCTAAAGTCTAGATTACTCGAACGGCAAATTATCTTTCAAGTATACGACAACGAATGTCTTTACAACACCATCTTTGACTGATAACGGTAATAATAGAGTAAAAATCCTCAATTTAAATGTGGAAACGATCTGATTAGTTGGCTATAATCTGTGACTCTTACCTATTAAATCTTATAATAAAATTTTTAAATGAGCTTGGATGTGTTTTTTTTATACGTATAAAAAAATGTAAATTTTTTATTTAGTAAAAACACAAAATATATATCACACAAAATTTATTTTTAATACGTATATAATTTTATATACTTACAATATATATCTTTAAAAAATAACAATAATATAAAAATTTCAAAATACGTATGAAGCTTCATTATCGTAAAAAAATTAAAAAAAATTGAATTATTAAACATCAATGATCTCGACAGACATCATTTGGCTGGCAGCGATCCTAGAAAGATGATATTGAGAATTTACGCCTCGAGTTTTCGATATTAACGCTTCGGTTATCTTTCTGGTGTTAATCGATTTACTCGTGTACATATCATTTGGATGAATCGATGATTCTAAGTCCTGTTTGATATTATCCACTTCAAAAAATTGAATCATCTCATCATCATCTTCACCTTGTCCTATCTCTTCAAGTCAGCATTACACGTTCCATTAGCATTGCCCATCTCAGCAGATTTTTGATAATAAATGAACGCTTTATATCCATCATTTTCAACTCCAATTCCATTTTCATAACAATATCCAACATTACATGTTCCACTAGCGTCCCCATCTCAGCAGATTTTTGATAATAAATGAAAGCCTTATGTTCATCCTTTTCAACCCCGATGCCTTTTTGATATTTACATCCAAGTTTGCGAAGTTCAGCGCCCGTCTGACCCATGTTAAATATGTGTACCAAAATATTTTTTTCATATAGTTACGTTCACTCTGATCTTTGAAAAAAACAAAAACAATTTATCTTTCAGAGATTTTTTTATTTATTTTTATTTTGTAATTTTTCTTTCGCTTGATGAATTTATTTTTATTAATTCGCAATTCTAGTAGAATTATTCCGTTTTCAACAGAAATTAGCCGAAGAGCAAAATTAAATTTGTAATAAATAAGGCTCCAGCCCGCAAAACGGCGCCGTTTTACTAGTTTTATGAGATTGTATTGTGATTGTGATCGCGATTGCTAAAGCCGCTGGCTTTAGCAATCATAATTATTTAATCATAAAAAAATTAATCATAGGGTTACTAAATTATGCAAAGCGCAATAATATAATTAATTACGTATATGTATAAAGTTTAAGATGTATAAAAAAAACGGTTGCCTTTTAAGCATCTTCTAAAGTTTTCTTCTTGATAATTATTTATTTAGCTCGCGAACCCCTTGAACGAATACTAGAAATATACAATAATCAAAGAGAAAATATGAAAGAATTAATCAAGCTACTGTTCTAAAAAGTTGAAAATAGAGTTATCTAAAGAGAAAATGAACATCGAAATTCATAAATTCGAAATAATTACACCTTAATAATCCATAAGATGAAATTGCAACAGTTATTAAACAAAATTTGAATCTAACAATAGCTTTCAAAGTTTTTGTAACAATGATATTAAACAAATTCGTGATTGTCACCGTTGTAAAAAGACCAGTTGCAGCAATAAATCGTGCTCATTTAGAAGAAGCAATTCATTATTTTTGTTATTTTTTAATGTGATGAGGACAAATGGCAAAAAATTATCTTTCACTTCATGTGTCATAATGATTTTTTTACAATCATTTTTTTGGCATTAGATAATATATAGTTATTGGATGCGAAGCAGCCAATAACGGAAATTATCCGGCAGCTTACTATGATAGTGCTTGCCAAATAACTCGAGTTATTTGGCAGTGATTATGTCATCTGCCAAAT